CCTTCCTCCACCTCCCCTTCCTCCTCCTCCCCTTCCACCTCCTCCCCTTTCACCTCCTCCCCTTTCACCTCCTCCCCTGCCACCTCCTCCCCTTCCACCTCCTCCCCTTCCACCTCCTCCCCTTTCACCTCCTCCCCTTTCACCTCCTCCACTTTCACCCCCACCCCTTCCAGAACCCATAAGCGCTACCCCATCCCTTCCATCCCTTTCATTCGCCACCGCTATTTAAAAACGGATATAATACGGCTGAGCTCAACAATTGATGAGTATTTTATTTTGAAATACAAAAAAATCAATGTTTTCATTTTTAAAACCAAAATCAGGCTAGATTTTGTAAAAATGAAGAGAGGCTTGAATCCTGCCCAGTTACAAACGGCGTGAAGCGTGGTTGGGTTCTTGGTACCAAACCTTATTAAAGCTAAATTTCGTGTTCTCTTCTCAAAGAACCATGCTTTATAACTGATGCCTTCAGAAAAGGGGTGGGGGGGGAGGGGGGTGGGGGCATTCGAATCGTCACCAGACAACGAACGAATGGTGAACGACTCAAACACTTGGGTGACCCATAAAAAAATACAAATGTCTTCAACAATAGCATCAGCAGAGCCGTTCTTAGGAGTTTAGGGGGCCCTAAGCATGGAGCGTAGGTTAGGCGCCCCGGAAAAAGGGGGGGGGGTCCAATCGCTATTTATACTTTCCCATTCCCACGGCCAAGCCCCCGATTTCCTGTCTGTCACCCCCAAAGCACACCTCCCCCTGCTGCTTCCCTTTCCCTGCCTCCGAATTCAACTCAGAATGATAAATTTCAGGATGAGGAAGGTAACGTGAGTGACACAGACGGCTGCAGTGCTAGTTTTTAAAAAAAAAAACCGGGTGATCGAGGTCGCCTCACGGGGGCCCCCCTCACGTTCGGGGCCACAAGCGGATGCGTAGTCAGCGTATGCCGAAGAACGGGCCTGTCATTAGGGATTCTCTGGTAGAAGTCGACATTGCGCTCAACGCTCGGTCAGACTCCGATTTTTAGCACAATGTTGACATATATTTTTATTCCTTAACACACCATGGTCACAAAATTAATCTAGTAAAAAAAAAAACGTGACGCCGTGCACCATCAAACTCCTAGAAAACCTTAATTTGAAACCAGCACAGGGTGGTAAGAATAAAAATAAATAAGTCTTATTTACATCACGTTATTGCATTCAAACTGGATTAAACTTTTGGACCCCACTTCTCATTCTTAATTTTGGATCCGCCGCTACATATACCCTTTTAAGATAATTGCATAACTATGCATAATTATTCGAAATCATGAACAGGCTGGTATCGTGCCACACACGCCATCCATGTCTAATAAATACGCATAGCTACACAATGGCCTACTTGAAATAATAATGTAGTACCTGTGTCATGATGTGAAAAACCACATATTTCAATGCTACACACTCAACACGCACAGACTCGTTCAAAACCAAACACGAATTTCAAACTTTATGGGTGTAAGCGGAAGGGAAAAGTCTTAAGAAAATTATCTAGACGATAACGATGAAACATATTCAGCAAAGAAAATGGATGGTGAAGGCGATCTGGTTGTCAGCTTAGACATAGAAGAAAACAGGCTAATGAGCTCAGCAGCAGAAGGCATCGCTCATGGGGAGAGTTTTAATGATCTCAACGGATCGGTTTGGAACGACGTAACAAAAAGCAACATGATTTCAGCTGGTGAACAAGGTAACACATTCTTAGAAATTCGGTTAGCTTTAGGAAAGTCAAATCCGTCGAATAGAGATCAGATTAAACCTAATGATATCTCAGACTTGGAAATAGGAAATGCAAGTTCCGAAAATGTGGAAGACGTCACCGCATCAAAGGCTGATCACGCCGCTGGGTTCAAGTATGAAAACTCAAATCCCGTCTGTTTTGAAAACGCTGAAACGAATAAAAACAGTCTTGTGAATGAACACACGGCTGATTCTCACACGTTCGCATTGTCTAAGACACAGTTGGAGTGCAGAGAAGGACAGCTTAACATAGACGTAACACAGAACGACTCGAAGTTTGGGAACTCATTAAAAGACAACGCGTCTGATAAACACAACATTTCGGGTAGAAAGCAACACGCAACTCCAAACTTTGACCACCACGGACGTGTCAAGAGACGAAGTAAAGCCGTGAGCTCCTGCCAGTCACTGGCCACACGTGTGTTCTCGTGGAGGTCCATGATGCTCCTACTGCTTCACCTGTCCTTCGTGATAAACACCATCCCCAGGAACACAGCCCCCATGGCCATAGTGTGTATGGTCAGACCCCGATCAGGCGATGGCTCAAGGGATGGGTCGACGAATGCCACGATGATCGGAGTAACTGAGGGTTCGCTCGGTTCACAGATGGAAGGGGCGCTCAGTGCGGCTGTTCAGATGAATACGACGGGTGAGAATGTGAGTTGAACAAAAGTATACAAAGTCAAAATTGGGTAGGTAGCATTGATTACCTATTGCTGAGTTTTACTTCAATATAAAATGAAACATATCTAAAAGAATGTGTGCACCATGTCAGTTGTCCTCTACTCAGACTGTGATCCACAATGTCTTTTTTTTTTCCTCAATGCGTGAATATTTGCTTTTCTTAGAAATTTCAACTTTTTTTTCTGAACTTCGTACAGCTAACATATATATGAACAAATTGTATGTTATTGAAATCCTTACACCGCTTGACGAGGCTTGTGCAAAATTTGTTTTTAGCCCAATTTCAACATACCACTTACTAGTCGGTGTGGAGGGTAGGGGGTGTAAGTTTTCAAGTATCCTTTTTTCATTTAAAAAATGCTAAAATAAAAACAGATACATAATTTTTGTTTTGAGAATTTAAAATGTGTGTAATTATTGTTCATATTTTTTTTTACTCCCCCTCCCCCCCCCCCTCTTGGCCTCCATCAGTCTGATGATTTTGAGTTTGACTGGAACTCCAACACCGTGGGACTTGTCTTGTCATCCATCACATTCACGTCATGGGTGGGACCATTCTTTGCTAACCTGGTAAGCGGTTACCTTGGCAACAAGTGGACCATGACGCTGCTGACTTTTGGCTCTGCATTGACGACTTTGTTATCTCCCCCTGCTGCACGCATTGGACCGAATGTTCTGGTCGGACTCAGGATAATCTCAGGACTGGCATTTGTGAGTAGTTTATGGTCATCTGAGCACAGGCACTGATGAGTAGTTTATGGTCATCTGAGCACAGGCACTGGTGAGTAGTTTATGGTCATCTGAGGACTGGTACTGGTGAGTACTTTATGGTCATCTGCGGACTCGCATTTGTGAGTAGTTTATGGTCATCTAAGAACTGTCACTGGTGAGTAGTTTATGGTCATGTGAGCACAGGCCCTGGTGAGTAGTTTATGGTCATCTGAGGACTCACACTGGTGAGTAGTTTATGGTCATCTGAGGACTCACACTGGTGAGTAGTTTATGGTCATCTGAGGACTGGCACTTGTGAGCAGTTTATGATCATCTGAGGACTCACACTGGTGAGTAGTTTATGGTCATCCCAATATTTGCTACACCCTTCCCCCATGTTAAGTTAATTCACACTTTTCATTTCACGCCCATGAATTATATTAATATTCTCATATCCCAACCACTTTTAAACCGAATATTTTTTACACCATAATTAAATTGAGACGATTTCATTTCCGAAAAGAAAATATTACGTACCAATCGCAATTGCATTTTTAAAAAAAAAAATATTTATATATCATTCAGCGTAGTTATCGAGAATTTTGCATGCTAGTGAACTCATTATTTAACCACACTCTGGCGTATCTAAATATGGCCTGCGTGGTGGTGTTTCCCTCTCATTTCCAATCCCAATGACCACCATTGAAAGCATGGAGATATTGTTATATTTTGTTAGCATTCCATTTTTTTTTTACATTCCCCCCACTCCAGGGAGCAAACTTGCCTATTGTTTCTGACACAATTGTCTGGTGGACTCCAGAATCTGAGAGGCTGACCGCAACAGCTGTGACATTTTCTGGTATGTTGAGCCTTAAGTTCATAGCGTCGTATATCCTTCAGAAAAGAAAACCTTAACTCAATTTTAATGTATACGATTCCAAAATGTATTATCATCAAAAAAAAACCAAACTCATGGTTTTACTTCACGTCCTAGTAGTTATTCTTAAGTGATGTTACTAATCTATTAAAATATACGGTCCTGTGATAGACACTGATTGATACAGAATTCGTTCAAACAACCAGGAGATTTATTAATTGTTCGAAGTCCCTTTCAAAATCCCCCCAAAAATGCAAAAAAGCAGACTGTACTGGACAGGTCACATTGAGAGGATGCGCGAATTTTAGAGCATCACAAGAGTTATCTAAAGGCAGAAGCCTGGAGGCAGACGTCTCACCGGTCCAGGGCCGGCCTTAGGCCACTGCAACCTATGCGGCCCTGCCCAGGTCGACCAATACTGAAACGGGTCTGCAATATTCAGCACGACTTACACCAGCTGGAGGTCCGCGCGTGGAGGCGGAAAGACGTGGATCTATCCAAATGGAAGGATGTGGTGGAGCAGACCTGGGCCCTAAACGGGCTGTAGCGCCACGAATGATAAATGAAAGAAAATGATTTTTTTTTTTTAAATGCTCCATACAACTCAAGTTTCAAAGTAAAATAACGAAGACCTTGATTGTCAACTCAACATTTTTAGAAACCATTTCCAGTTTATTGTATGTTCCCCAGGGGTTAACATGGCCGGCATCGTCACCTTCTTCATCGCTGGCTTTTTGTGCTCTGTTCCCATAGACAACGGCTGGCCCTTTGTCTTCTACATCTTTGGTAAAAATGAAATTTTTCAAACTTATTTTGTGGTGTGATACCAGTTATATTTTTTGTTGTGACTTATTCAATGTGTAGATTAATGAAACATTTAACTTAAGAACATTTATCCCTACTTAATGAGCTTTTATCTTAACTAAAAGATTAAAATTTGCAAATAATAAACGAAAAACTCTCTTGAAAAGTTCAAATTTATATTCGAAATATTAACAAAAAAACAAATACAAAAAAAAAAAAAAAAAAAAAAAAAAAAAAAAAAAAAAAAAAAAGAAAAAAAAAAAAAAAAAAAACACCAAAAAAAAATAAAAATTAAAAAAAAAAAAAAAAAAAAAAAAAAAAAAAAAAAAAAAAAAAAAAAAAAAAAAAAAAAAAAAAACGAAGGAAAAAAAGCACTCTTTTCTATAGAAACTGCCCTGAATGACTGGTTGACTGGCTGGCTGGTTGACTGACTAAATGACTGGTTGACTGACTGGCTGAGTGAATGGCTGACTGGCTGACTGACTTGATGCCTGTCTGACTTGATGATTGACTGACTGACTAACTGACTGGTTGACTGGCTCAATGACTAACTGACTGCCAGGGTGGTTGGCTGGTTTGCTGACTGACTGGCTGACTGACTGAATTGCTTACTGACTGATTGAGTCCATAGAAACCATCATCGCTATTTAATCTAGAAAGAAGAATTTTTGATAGGTAAATTAAGATCTTGACGTAAAAATGAATTTTCTCTGAAAATTTTAAATGGGGAGGGCGTGAATTTTTCCTATATTGTAAAAAATTAGATGATGCTTTAAAGGTATGGTCTCTCGAAAAAAGCATTAAGCTGAATTGTCCTTTTAATAGTCTTGCCTTTTATTTTAAGCCCAAACATATCTTATCCATTTTTATATTTTTCCTTCACACCGCAAAAAAACTCATCCCCTATTTTGATTGATTGTCATAAATCGAGCTATTAAAAGCACATTCAATTATCTGTACACATACACATGTTTGGTAGAAGTATACTCAACTATCTGTACACCAGGGGCAATAACTCTACTGTGGACTCTAGCATGGCACATAATGACTTCTCAAAAGCCCGAAGACCATCCTTGGATTTCCGACGAGGAGAAGTCTTTTATCATCGCCACACGCAGTCGTGGCATTGGGGCTAACAAGGTAGAAAACAAATGCATGTAAATCTTTGTCTGATAGAGAATTATTTACTCGTATTCGCATCAAATAATCTGGAAAAAATTATGCATCTTTTCAGCTTAGGAGCCAGAATGATCAATTCATTGATCGTGGGCCCTTAAAATAAAGAAGAAGAAGAAGCTTTAAATATTGTCCGTTAATGAAGATTTTTATTAAAACGATTATTGAAAAAAAACACATAGATCTACTAGAAAGAACATACCAGGTGCCCATTGATGAAGATATCATAAGGAAAAGATGGATGTGGATAAGGCATACGCTACGAAAACCCCTAGATAGCACCATCAGACAATGCCTAACATGGAACCTGCTGGGAAAATCAAAGAGAGGAAGGCCTAATAATACATGTAGACGCGAGCTAGAGGCAGACACGCAAAATATGGGATACACCTGGAAGCAATTGGAAAGAAAAGCACAGGACCGTGAAAAGTGGAAAATTCATATAAACAGCCTACGCCCCCAAACGCGGTAGAAAGGCGTAAAGAAAAAAAGATAATTGAAAAATAACGCATCTTTTATTATCAATCAGTGTCGCCACGTTACTTTTGGTGACTCCCGGTCATCTTACGATTGCACGCCCCAAAGTATTCTAATGTAATAGTTTTATAATTTATTCTTCCTTACAGCTTGGCGCCTTTTAAATATCCGCCCCCCCCCCCCTTTTGCACGTTGCAGCCTAAAGGGATGCAAGGTTCCACGCGACAGCTCTGCCAACAACGTACTCAGTGAAAGACCTTAGAAACACCATCTCGATTATGTATTAACATCAAATCTTTTGAACTTTTACCCTCGATTGTAAGACAAATACATATGTATGGACCTACAAACACAACTCGATGAAACACTGACACATACGAGTTTTTATTTTTAAAGAAAAATATTTTTTGACTATTTCTCCTTTCACTTCTTTTTTTTAAAACTTTTTTTGTTATAATGAATTTTTTTTTCCACTGTGACTTTTTCCTTTTAACTTTCTTTATTGAGGCTTTTTTCTCCTGTGACTTTTTCCTTTTGACTTTCTTTCTTGAGGCTTTTTTCCCCTGTGACTTTTTCCTTTTAACTTTCTTTCTTGAGGCTTTTTTCTCCTGTGACTTTTTCCTTTTGACTTTCTTTCTTGAGGCTTTTTTCTCCTGTGACTTTTTCCTTTTAACTTTCTTTCTTGAGGCTTTTTTCCACTGTGACTTTTTCCTTTTAACTTTCTTTCTTGAAGCTTTTTTCTCCTGTGACTTTTTCCTTTTAACTTTCTTTCTTGAGGCTTTTTTCTCCTGTGACTTTTTCCTTTTGACTTTCTTTCTCGAGGCTTCTTTCTCCTGTGACTTTTTCCTTTTAACTTTCTTTCTTGAGGCTTTTTTCTCCTGTGACTTTTTCCTTTTAACTTTCTTTCTTGAGGCTTTTTTCCACTGTGACTTTTTCCTTTTAACTTTCTTTCTTGAGGCTTTTTTCCACTGTGACTTTTTCCTTTTAACTTTCTTTCTTGAGGCTTTTTTCTCCTGTGACTTTTTCCTTTTAACTTTCTTTCTTGAGGCTTTTTTCTCCTGTGACTTTTTCCTTTTAACTTTCTTTCTTGAGGCTTTTTTCTCCTGTGACTTTTTCCTTTTAACTTTCTTTCTTGAGGCTTTTTTCTCCTGTGACTTTTTCCTTTTAACTTTCTTTCTTGAGGCTTTTTTCTCCTGTGACTTTTTCCTTTTAACTTTCTTTCTTGAGGCTTTTTTCTCCTGTGACTTTTTCCTTTTAACTTTCTTTCTTGAGGCTTTTTTCTCCTGTGACTTTTTCCTTTTAACTTTCTTTCTTGAGGCTTTTTTCTCCTGTGACTTTTTCCTTTTAACTTTCTTTCTTGAGGCTTTTTTCTCCTGTGACTTTTTCCTTTTAACTTTCTTTCTTGAGGCTTTTTTCTCCTGTGACTTTTTCCTTTTAACTTTCTTTCTTGAGGCTTTTTTCTCCTGTGACTTTTTCCTTTTAACTTTCTTTCTTGAGGCTTTTTTCTCCTGTGACTTTTTCCTTTTAACTTTCTTTCTTGAGGCTTTTTTCTCCTGTGACTTTTTCCTTTTAACTTTCTTTCTTGAGGCTTTTTTCTCCTGTGACTTTTTCCTTTTAACTTTCTTTCTTGAGGCTTTTTTCTCCTGTGACTTTTTCCTTTTAACTTTCTTTCTTGAGGCTTTTTTCTCCTGTGACTTTTTCCTTTTAACTTTCTTTCTTGAGGCTTTTTTCCACTGTGACTTTTTCATTTTAACTTTCTTTTCTGAGGCTTTTTTCTCCTGTGACTTTTTCCTTTTGACTTTCTTTCTTGAGGCTTTTTTCTCCTGTGACTTTTTCCTTTTAACCTTCTTTCTTGAGGCTTTTTTCCACTGTGACTTTTTCCTTTTAACTTTCTTTCTTGAGGCTTTTTTCTCCTGTGACTTTTTCCTCTTAACTTTCTTTCTTGAGGCTTTTTTCCACTGTGACTTTTTCCTTTTAACTTTCTTTCTTGAGGCTTTTTTCTCCTGTGACTTTTTCCTTTTGACTTTCTTTCTTGAGGCTTTTTTCTCATGTGACTTTTTCCTTTTAACTTTCTTTCTTGAGGCTTTTTTCTCCTGTGACTTTTTCCTTTTGACTTTCTTTCTTGAGGCTTTTTTCTCCAGTGACTTTTTCCTTTTGACTTTTTTTCTTGAGGCTTTTTTCTCATGTGACTTTTTCCTTTTAACTTTCTTTCTTGAGGCTTTTTTCTCCTGTGACTTTTTCCTTTTAACTTTCTTTCTTGAGGCTTTATTCTCCTGTGACTTTTTCCTTTTGACTTTCTTTCTTGAGGCTTTTTTCTCCTGTGACTTTTTCCTTTTAACTTTCTTTCTTGAGGCTTTTTTCCACTGTGACTTTTTCCTTTTAACTTTCTTTCTTGAGGCTTTTCTTGAGGCTTTTTTCTCCTGTGACTTTTTCCTTTTAACTTTCTTTCTTGAGGCTTTTTTCCACTGTGACTTTTTCCTTTTAACTTTCTTTCTTGAGGCTTTTTTCCACTGTGACTTTTTCCTTTTGACTTTCTTTCTTGAGGCTTTTTCTCCTGTGACTTTTTCCTTTTGACTTTCTTTCTTGAGGCTTTTTTCCACTGTGACTTTTTCCTTTTAACTTTCTTTCTTGGGGCTTTTTTCTCCTGTGACTTTTTCCTTTTAACTTTCTTTCTTGAGGCTTTTTTCTGCTGTGACTTTTTGCTTTTGACTTTCTTTCTTGAGGCTTTTTTCTCCTGTGACTTTTTCCTTTTAACTTTCTTTCTTGAGGCTTTTTTCCACTGTTACTTTTTCCTTTTAACTTTCTTTCTTGAGGCTTTTTTCTCCTGTGACTTTTTCCTTTTAACTTTCTTTCTTGAGGCTTTTTACCGCTGTGACTTTTTCCTTTTAACTTTCTTTCTTGAGGCTTTTTTCTCCTGTGACTTTTTCCTTTTAACTTTCTTTCTTGAGGCCTTTTTCTTCTGTGCCTTTTTTTCTTTTGACTTTCTTTCTTGAGGCTTTTTTCTCCTGTGACTTTTTCCTTTTAACTTTCTTTCTTGAGGCTTTTTTCTCCTGTGACTTTTTCCTTTTAACTTTCTTTCTTGAGGCTTTTTTCCACTGTGACCTTTTTCTTTTGACTTTCTTTCTTGAGGATTTTTTCTCCTGTGACTTTTTCCTTTTAACTTTCTTTCTTGAGGCTTTTTTCTCCTGTGACTTTTTCCTTTTAACTTTCTTTCTTGAGGCTTTTTTCTCCTGTGACTTTTTCCTTTTAACTTTCTTTCTTGAGGCTTTTTTTCTCCTGTGACTTTTTCCTTTTGACTTTCTTTCTTGAGGCTTTTTTCCACTGTGACTTTTTCCTTTTGATTTTCTTTCTTGAGGCTTTTTTCTCCTGTGACTTTTTCCTTTTGACTTTCTTTCTTGAGGCTTTTTTCCCCTTTGACTTTTTCCTTTTAACTTTCTTTCTTGAGGCTTTTTTCTGCTGTGACTTTTTCCTTTTGACTTTCTTTCTTGAGGCTTTTTTCTCCTGTGACTTTTTCCTTTTAACTTTCTTTCTTGAGGCTTTTTTCCACTGTGACTTTTTCCTTTTAACTTTCTTTCTTGAGGCTTTTTTCCACTGTGACTTTTTCCTTTTAACTTTCTTTCTTGAGGCTTTTTTCCACTGTGACTTTTTCCTTTTAACTTTCTTTCTTGAGGCTTTTTTCTCCTGTGACTTTTTCCTTTTGACTTTCTTTCTTGAGGCTTTTTTCTCCTGTGACTTTTTCATTTTAACCTTCTTTCTTGAGGCTTTTTTCCACTGTGACTTTTTCCTTTTGACTTTCTTTCTTGAGGTTTTTTTCTCCTGTGACTTTTTCCTTTTAACTTTCTTTCTTGAGGCTTTTTTCCACTGTGACTTTTTCCTTTTGATTTTCTTTCTTGAGGCTTTTTTCCTCTGTGACTTTTTCCTTTTGACTTTCTTTCTTGAGGCTTTTTTCTCCTGTTACTTTTTCCTTTTAACTTTCTTTCTTGAGGCTTTTTTCTCCTGTGACTTTTTCCTTTTAACTTTCTTTCTTGAGGCTTTTTACCACTGTGACTTTTTCCTTTTAACTTTCTTTCTTGAGGCTTTTTTCTCCTGTGACTTTTTCCTTTTAACTTTCTTTCTTGAGGCCTTTTTCTTCTGTGACTTTTTTTCTTTTGACTTTCTTTCTTGAGGCTTTTTTCTCCTGTGACTTTTTCCTTTTAACTTTCTTTCTTGAGGCTTTTTTCTCCTGTGACTTTTTCCTTTTAACTTTCTTTCTTGAGGCTTTTTTCTCATGTGACTTTTTCCTTTTGACTTTCTTTCTTGAGGCTTTTTTCCACTGTGACTTTTTCCTTTTGATTTTCTTTCTTGAGGCTTTTTTCCTCTGTGAGTTTTTCCTTTTAACTTTCTTTCTTGAGGCTTTTTTCCCCTGTGACTTTTTCCTTTTGACTTTCTTTCTTGAGGCTTTTTTCTCCTGTGACTTTTTTTTTCTATTGAATTTTTTTCCTTAGATTTTTACGCCAGCAGTGGTTTTTTTCCATGTGAAGTTTTTCCAAGCAACATATGTCCCTTTTTTTTTTACTGTGACTTTCGTTCCTAGCAAAATTTCTCACCTGTGACTCTTTAACGCTCAAATTACCCTTTTATCGATTTTTAAATTGTATTTTTTTAAATCCTCAATTCATTTTCTATCGTCTTTTAATTTTTAAAATTTAAACAAAAAAAAACTAAAAAACATTATATCAGATTATGCATATTTTTGTACTCTCAGACAGGAAGGTTAGACAAGCCACCGTACAGAACCATTATGACATCAGTTCCGATACTTGTGTACTTTATCGTCACGTGCGTGCACATCTGGTGTTCCACGATCTTCTACACTTACTTAGCCATTTACTTCTCAAGGCTGCTGGGCTTTACATACCAGGAGGTAATCCTACTAGTCCATGTGGTTGATCACATGACATTTAAACAAAAAAAATGAATTAATATTCCATCTGTCTTCCCGAATAAGAAAGTATGCATAGATCTTAAATTATTAATACTGTCTTAATGACATGTTCTCATTGGCTGGCTGCTATACTTTTGACATGGAAGGCTCAAAACCATCTAGTTTTGTAAATTTAAGAGAAAAAAATCCTATCTTCAAAACCTTTGTAAATCCTGCTCTGTGTTGTAATGCATTTATGTTTTTGTCGTAAGTTTTTCGGTGTATTGATGAATCAAAAAGTAAATTTAAAACATTCCTGCCGACTTAGTGAGTTTGTATGTTAAGGTTCTTCTTTGACGTTCGTGATTGCTTAATCTCGCGTTTCTTTGAATTTCGCGCCCTTGTAAATTTTAATGGCGTCTTGTTAGCTCTAGGACACAACGTCCACCTCGATTCCGTGCTAGCTCGTACCATAAATATAACTGTTACAGGCTGGTAATCGGATAATCAGTTTAATAGCTTCGTTACGCCTAAGGATAAATTATTAAACTAGTCAATGGTCTACGTGGCACGTGGTTGTTTATTCATCATAAGCTTGCCTTCTACCTCGCGCTCCCACCCTTCAACTCACTTGCTAGCGAAAAATCACCACAACGTACAACGTCACCTCCCATACCCAAATACGTAACAAATGCAAACCACATATAAATTACTACTCAATTCATCTCCACTCCAAAAACACACACCCATGTGAACGAGCCATGAAGAGTAAACAATGTACAGGCACAAAGACGACGGATCACGTGCTAAGCAAATGCCAACACTATAACGTAATCTACCTTTCTATTGACGCAATGTCGGCCAACCAATAATTGTCCAATTGTGACAATCTCACGTCAGACAGGTGTGCTGGTTTCTTCCATGGCCTTATGTCGTCTGCTCGGGGCGTATGCCTGGACGATTTTCGGGAACGTGTTAATGAAAAGACCTGGGATGACCACCAACAAGAACAGAAAGATTATCTTCACATCAGGTATACGAACTGATGTTTAAAAGAAGTGGCTGAAAATTTGGTGAAGCTACTTGACTTTCAAGGCGTTATTAAGGGGGGGGGGTGGTCTTCAAGTCACTTGTGTCGTCAGGGTGTGACTTAGAAGTCTAGGCGGGACTTCGGGGTTCAGAACATGACTTATGTCTTTAGGGCGTGACTTAGGGCGTCATGAAGTGTCATTTGGAGCAAGTGACGTGTGTCGTCATAGGTCAACAGGATTTGACTTTGCTAGTCAGGGCGTAATTTGGGGCATAAGAAAGTCACTATGGGAGCCAGCTTATTGACCTTAAGATTAAGGGACGTGACTTCGGGCGTCAGCATGTCACAATGGGAGCCAGCAAGTGCCTTTAAGAGTAAGGGCGTGACTTGGGGCGCCAGGGAGTTACAGGGTGGCATTTATTATGAATGAATGTATTAAGTTTTTTTTTTTTAAATCCATCTTAGTTTCTATACATGTTAAATAACCAATAATTCTACAAATTTTTAAGACTAAATATTCGAATGCCATTTTGAGGCGACCCAGAGATGAATAGAGAGTTTTGTTTTATTGTAAACAATTCAGAACAAAAGTTACACTTACTTTAACTCGTCTCTCAGAAAATAGTTGTGAGATCAAGAACAGTATCATAATATGACCTGGACTTTTCAACTCAACAGGGTGTGTTGTGTCCGGAATACTTCTTGTGGCCGTGACCTTCATAGACTCTGACCTCAGGTGGGTTGCCGCGGCCCTGATGTGTGCCGTGATGCTGTCCCAGTGCGTGAACGCCGTGGTTGTGCCGGTATTAGCTCTGGACATGGCGCCCAGGTAAAATGAACACCTGGTGTAATGTTAAGTTATCAAGCGCAATATAAACCAAACGAAAAAAAAAAAACCTAATTTTTTCCCCCTACTCTCTCACAAAAAATACCCACTTTATCACCCCTCCCCCCCAAATCCACTTCGTTTTGACTTTCACATCCTCTTAGATTTGACTTTTTACCGCCTCACTCCACCCACATTGTTTTCTACTGCCCCCCCCCCCTCCCTTAACATAAATGATCTTCCGTCGACCCATTCAACAGTGACCTCTTAACTCACACTAGCACATCCCGCACTCATCGATTTTCTTCTAAACATCTGCCAAGATCCTCACACTCTCCTCTTTATTTCTACTCACGCCCCTCGTTTCAAGTTTCCCCGTGTACTGTTTAGTGTTTTTTTTTTTTTTTTT